TCCATTCAGGACAGTGAATTGTGTGACTAGTGTAAAATTAACATTATAATATGTCCTTTATATTACCATTACATATTAGACTAATATAAAAAAGATGGCAAGATTTTGAAAGTGGCTGTATAGGATGCATGTTTTCATGCTATTCAGAATTGTCCTAAACTACAGCACTAGTGGAAATCACAGCAAATCTGTTTCCTATAGAGTTACAATGAGCTTTGATCCCATTACATCTAGTCTTGCTTCACACAGATATGCATTTGGCATTGTAGCAAAATAAGGTTTTTGTGTATTTTTTTTTCTGTGCTGTCTCTATTTCATCTACCTTTATTAACAATCAAGATTCTGAATTTTTGTAGCTCAATAAAATAAAATAAAAAATTGCAGATGGGTTTCCCATGGAGTTATGTTGCTGACCAATTCTTTCCAAGCTGACATATTTTAATTTATTAGAATTGGCTAATGTGACTTCTGGAAGAAAATGAAAACATGTGGATCATCTATGGAAGTAATAATCTATATAAAGAATTACATCAATGTTTCATTTTCTAAGGTTAAGAATTTATATGGGACAGTTTGTCATCCTATTTTTAGTTCTTCTGGGGTCCAATAATTACGAGAGCGTGCTTGGATTTCAGGAGAATTTTTGGAAAGCAGAATAATACCTCCCCCGGAGGTACTGGCTTAGTTGTTTTTTTGATAATTAACTTTAATTACCGGAGCTAAGTCCAACAAATGTTTAAGAAGGCAACAGGAACCCTTCTTAGTCCACACATTGAGGAAAGTTTCTCCTTCCCAGGTAGTAAGTTGCTCTATATTCACCCGTAGCTCTGGATTCCTTACCACCAGCTATGCATAATGTCTGTGGTCTGTAGCATCTTCTGTGGATGCTGGTGTGGTGGGAGTTGGAAGGCTGATAAGGGTGTTTTTTTATACAATAAGCCTTGTTTTATACTCAGTAAAATAATGGTGGAGTCGTATAGAGACACATGCATCCTACAAGCTAGGTCTGTGTGTGTATGAATATTCAGGTGCTTCTAAAGCATCCGAGTATGGATTTGCTTTGGATAATTGATTTTATAATCTTGTAATATTTTACGTGTCTTCTGTTAAATGAGAAAATTAATAGGCATTTTCTGAAGTGAAGCTTCCAGGCAGTTTGCACTAAAACATCAATTGCCAGCCTTAACAGGCATGCAGACTACAGTAAGTTCTGAGATATCAGCTACCAACGCACTAATGTGAATTCCCCAGCAAGGCGCAAGCCAGACTTCACTTTAAAATAAGCAAGTAAAAGTTCTCATTTAGCAGGACCTGAGCCCTTGTGCAAGTGTCAGCCTGGTCGGGCTGCGTGGGGCCAAGAGCATGCGGTTCCTCTTGGTCCCTTCTGCTCTGTGAATCCCGGAATGGTCTGCAGGGGAGCTCGTGTGTTTTCTTTTTGTAAACAAAGGCGAAATTAGCAAAGATGAAGCCAGCTGATTAGGTATGTTGTGCAGGTTCTGACTTCATGGAGAGGCTCGGCAGTATCAGCTTTAGCTCAGCCTGTGTCAGCGCTCCCTGCACCAAGCTCTGCACACTTGTAAAGAGACCCTGAACAGAGACCAGCCAGGAACAATGAACCATCCACGCTTGACATTAGTATTGTTTTTATCATTTAAAGTATAACAAAGTGTTCTTTCTTCATTACGTTTCTTTTCAATGTGTTTAAGCTGTGATATTATGTGGATAACCATTCTTAACTTCCTGCACTCAGTCCAGAAATAATAATGAACTCGATCCTTTATATTGAGTCTTGATCTATCAATATTATGCGTTTGAAAGGCTGTCCTTGTTCCTCTGAATTTGCTCATTAAAATTGACCCACGTCTCAAGAGGCTACTCCGTTTCCATTTCTGGAAGTCAGACAATATTCAACGGCTGCAGTGCTTCGTCTACTTTTACTACATTGTGTAATCAGAAGAGGGAAGCATAAGTTACTGCTTTTAGATATTCATTTAATATAATGAAACTTCTATAACTACTGGTTTTGTTCTTGAGGTAGTTCATCGAATTCAATAAAGAACTAATTATGACACAGGAGAAGTCTAAGCCAAAGAGTAATACCACAGGATAATATTGCAGCATTTCGGACAATGTTGGAAGAACATTCGTACAGTCATTCATACAGTCATAGCCATACCCTGATTTCTTTTTAACCCAGTACATGGAGGAGATGCATAACAGTTTGTAGAAATTGTGTCTGTATTGCAAAAGCAGAGATAAATTATCTTTATTTATTGTAGCTTTTTGTGTGCATGATGTATCAGACATCTTCAGGGAGGATGAATCACAGCAGTGCTCTGAATTATATCAGGTGCTTTCTGAAAGGAATAGGAAATAAAATTTTCTAACAGTTTTACGTATTTTTTTAAAGTATATATTTTAGGTTTTAATCTGGAAACATGTTACTAAGTGTTTGAAATACCTGAAAGAAAAGCAGACTTTTGTTTTAAAAAAAAGTAATTTGAGGAAGATATTCTCTTTCAGAGGTGCAGTCTATCTGCTCTGCATAAAATAGTAGCCCTAAAGCCAGATGCTTCAAGCTCCATGATGCGGTTCTTAGCTGATGGCTTGAAGCCTTCACCTGACGTAAAAGGCCTTAGAAAAAAATCCTGTCTGCTTGAGAAGATCCTAATACCCAGCTTTGAAATAGCACTTCTTCACGCTCTTTTCAGACCACATCTGGCCAGCTGTGAAAAATGTCTCAGATGTAGGAGGACATGTAGAGCAATCTGAGCGTGGTTGTTGCAGTCATTGGCCCTGCAACTCAAGAGCTTGCTCATTTCCCATGTGAGGATGTCAGACAAAAATTAAAGATATGCTTTTAATTACTATGGAGTGTCTCATACAGCACTCATCCTGTTGAGACAGGAGAGTAAGTTATGGACTTTTCTCAAAAAAAAAAAAAAAGGAGAAAGGAGGAAAAAGAAGAAGAAAGTAATTACCTTCCCCAACTGTAGATTATACAGGCAGTGAATGGTGTGTCTGAGCCAAGAGGCATGGAAGCTGAAACCTTAAAATTGAGTGCTTGAAATTGGAAAGTCAGTCAGTGCTGACATTGTCTTTCACTCGCCCTCGTGTGCCTCGGCGCTAAAAGAGCTGTAACTCAGTAAGTCATCTCAGAGGGTACACTGCACATCGTTAGCACAACTGGGAGCTTGAATTCCATCCCGTTGTGTTTCCTTGCTATTGAAAGTTGCTCTGACACCTTTATTTTAGTGCGATTTTTGTGATTTCATTTTGTATAAATCATACAAAGACTTTGTGTGAAGGACTTCATATTTCTTTGGTCTTATGGGTACTGCAAAAGAAATCAGAGCATGAAATGTGTTAGAGACATTAGGTGAGTATTTTCTTCCAGCTGTCTCCCCTTTGGTGTAATATCATGTATCTGAAAGTCACGAGAATCCAATGTCTACATTTAACTTCGATCACATGTTTGTTCTTAATGATTTGATTCTTAAGTTTTCAAATGTGTTTGAATATTCAGGTAGTTCTTCAAGAGCTAAATGCTATTAAAAATATTCTATTGTACAGTTCTGAAAGGGCTATAGTTGAGATTTGCTTCTCCTTTTAAAATCTAGTTTAAATTCTTCCTCGAAGCCCGTAAAAAGGCTATTTCATTTTTGTCACCCACTTTCAGGGAAATGCTTGTTCTCAGGTTTGGGCTGACTTGTTTGGACTGTGTTTCTGAGAAGCAAGAAGAAGAAGACTTGGTCTGGTCTGATAATTCTTCTAGTTTTTGACAAGAATGTATTGCTAAGGATCCACCTAAATTTAGAGGAGTCTTGCACATGAAGCTGAGGGAATTTAAGAGTAAAGGTTTTCACTGGAGAAAATGTAAATATCGGAAAGGAATAAAATTAAGCTTAGCAGGAGTGGCCGCCACTGCAGCATGAACTGAATGCACACACTTAGGACTGTAGCCTCCTGTACCAGTGTAACCAGTGTCATTGTTCCTAAGTGTGCTTCCTTAATTTTTATGTAGTGATCATCTAGGTTTATGGATGCCTAGGTACACTTTAAATATACTGTGTCTGGTTAACTTTTACCTAATGTACATCAGGCGCTGTGATATTCTTCATTTCTGCCATACCTGATGGTTTTCTTTTTTGTGTTCCCACTTTTCCAATAATCCAATTTAAGAATCTAATCTCTTTGGTTTGCTTGTTAAAGTTGTGATAAAAAGTTATGACATCGATAAATTTCTTTTAAAAATGCGAGTAACTCTATTTATTACAATCAATTATTTCCCCAAAAAAGTGCAAAAAAGGTTAAGAACTGTTTTCTCTTTCTCTGCAAGTGGTCCTATGCTTTAGAGAAGCCCAACACTGGCAGCATATTTAATATTGCTTGGTCTGTTGACGGCACTCAGCTAGCTGGAGCATGTGGCAATGGACACGTCATCTTTGCCCACGTTGTGGAGCAGCGCTGGGAGTGGAAGAACTTGGAAATAACATTGATTAAGAGGAGAACCATGCAGGTAATCCTAACGATGCAGAACTGTACATCCCGAGTCATAGCTTTCTAAGGCTTTTCTCGATACAAGATTTGAATTTTTAATTGTTGAACAACAAATATTATTGATTTTCCATTTTTTCCACGAATACATCACTGAAAATGTTAAGATCATCAAATGGCCAGAGTTAGCAAATAACATAAATAATTATCTCTTGTACAGCAGATCATCTCTGTAAGCTAAACCATATTGCCAGATGAGCCAGAAGTACTTTATCCTCCAGAATAAAATAAAGCCCATTTGAAGAACGTGTGAAATTAGCTGTGGGAGGCAGCTTATGAGAGATAATTTCAAGTGTAATGAAAATGTTTATGCAGAAAACAATACAAATACATGGGCCAAAACCAAAGCATGGTATTATTTCAATAGTGTTACAGTAACTGTCAGCAAAGATGAAGCTGCATGACCAAGTGTAGACAATACAGAGGATCTTTCTTTGCCTTACCTGCATTCATGGGTTGCTGGAGGGACTGATGCACCTCGTAACAGCTGATCCTTTAGGTGGGTGTGCTGTGCCCGTGTTGTTAGTGAAGCTATGATGAATGTTGCTGTCTCAGCGGATTTCCAGATACATTTGCTTGCTGGCTGTAGCTGCTTATCTGCTCCAGATGCTGTGTTACAGCCTAGATCCAGATCTTCCAAAGGTACAGAACTCTGTCATGTATCATATAACACACATCAGGTACCCGCTGGGTGCTTCCAGCCCCGGAGTGCTGAGCCATAGGCACCGAGCTCCGGGGGAGCTGCCAAGTCTCAGCGCTGCTGGAAGCCAGCAGGCCCTACATGTGGTTTCTGGAGCTTAAGCTCAGGATCCTTCCTTTGAAAAATCTTGGCCTGGATCCACATTTAGGTTACCAAATATCTGGGAATTAATACAAAAATATGAATTTTACCTTCTAACTTGTCTTCTGTGTTCCCAGACACTGACTCACAACATTTGCTCTGTGGACAGCGGGGTAATATAAGATTTCCATCTTACAAATTTTCCAAATTACACATTTGATATTAGACACCAGGCCAATATTTTCAATATCAAATTCAAGTTCCTAAATTCCTAATTAGGCCCTTAAATGTTTTTTGGTCTCGATTCTTTCATGTTGACTATGTAATTGGGAAAAGTTGTAACAACAGGAATGCTGTATAACAATTGTGTCTAGTGGGTGGGATAATATGAGTCAGTGTCTGGGAACACAGAAGACAAATTAGCAGGTAAAAATTCATATTTCTTCTTTCATTCCCAGACATCGACTCGTAACAGATGGGCTCTGTTAATAACTCCAGGGAGTTTGAATATGCAAACAACTGAGGAAGGATAGCTTAACCTGATCCAAGATTTTATTTTATTTTATTTATTTTATTTTATTTTATTTTATTTTATTTTATTTTATTTTATTTTATTTTATTTTATTTTATTTTATTTTATTTTATTTTATTTTATTTTATTTTATTTTATTTTATTTTATTTTATTTCTATGTATTCATGTACACTTGTATTTATTTACAATGTACAATTATTTACAAAAACTCTCTAGATGCATTCTTTTGTCCTTATTATTACAATGGCAAAGTTAATTAGGGACACATCACTGCAGTGAACACAAAAATTAATATGCCTTTGGAAATTGTTCTAGACTTCCATAATAATTGAGTTCAATCTTCATTTTGCAATTGGTTGAAGAATGGAAGAAATCAAGGAGAAATTACCACCCTAGTAGATTTCATGCAGCTAAAGACTAAAGACGTCTTTGAGCTCAAAAGTCTGTGTTGATTACAGGCAAACTGTGATTTTCTTGTAACATTGTCATCTGAGCAAATTTTCACAGAAATGACACAGCCGACTTAGCAAGGTCATATCCTAAATTTCTCTTAAAATATGTTAAATAGCCAGAACTGTTTAGTAACTAGGCAGTATATCTTCATCAAAACCTTGGTTATTGCTAAGTGTTCAGATGGGATCATGATGGGATCACTGAAGTATTTATTACATTTCAAATTGTTTAACCAGCTGAGCAGTGAGTGTTAAAATGAGAACTTTCAGACATCCTTGATCACAGATGCTTTTATCAGCTCCGTGTATTATATTTTGCTTATACCTTCTGTGTTCCAATTAAGCATTAATTATTCGTTTCTTTCTTTTAAGGAAGTCCATCCTGAGTAACTTTTATTCCTTAAGCATTCCTGCTGTTGTGCTTTTTCTGTTTTTAACAATTGACTCTTGGAGTACCCAGTAGTGATTATGCTTTTGATTTTTGAATAGAACATCCATTCACAAAGACAACAAATTAACAGATAAAAATTACATTTAAAGCAAATTTACTTTTTTTTTTTCCCCCAAAATTTGTTTCAAAAGCATATTCATTGTTTATTCAGAGTTTATAGAACCTTTGTGTTTTAAGTTTCCCACCAGTACTGTGAAAGTGCCTATTCCAATATAATTCTGTTCTTCTGCTAATGGCATAACAGTATCAGCATGTGCTTATAATAAGAAAGTATATCATATTCAATAATGTTCATTTAATTTATTGACATTTTATTCAACCAAAGATTTTTCTCGATTAGGTGCACAACGTTATTGATGATGCCGTTGATTTGCTGGAATTCCGTGACAGGGTTATCAAGGCCTCTCTGAACTATGGGCATTTGGTTGCCTCAACTTCTCTTCAGTGTTATGTATTTTCGTAAGTAACACGTATTCATGAAGCTTTTTTGAATTTATTTAACTGTTGTAAGAAAGCAGCAGAAACTTTATTTGAAGTACAGTAGTTCATGACCAATTTGTTTTTGAAACTAATTGAAATATTCTGTCTAGCATCATATACAACAAAATGTATTTCAGTACAGTTGTCCTCCTGTCCTCCTTTCTTCCAGCCTCTTCTGGCTTTTTGTACAGCCAGTCAATGCACCAACATGTGGCTACAAATATTTCTGCTCTTTTCAGCTAGAGGCAGCAGTAATGATGGCTGGATGCAAATGTATTTGTCCCCATTAGGTGACTCCATCCAGTGACTTTATTTGAATACTGCTTCTGGCATGCCAGTTGTTTTGGAATAAAATCAGAATGATTCAATCCTACATCATTTTTTAAGAACATGATACTCTGTTTCATATGCTGAGATCTAAAGTTTACTGCTGAAGCAACTAATCAGCTCAGCGAGACGACTGATGTTGAACAATAATCCAGGGCGTGCGTCCTGACTCCAGATCACTGTAAGAGCTGAGCTGCAATTTAGAAGTACTTTAAAAATGTACTTGCTTCATACAAACATGATTTTGCTGTTCACTCAGATTCCTAGGTCAGCTACAGCTAGTGTGAAGGGATGCAAAAAAGAAAGCAGAAGTATTACTGGATCATACTGTACAGTTATCAGCATTACTTGTCTTCTTATATGCCTTTTTCCTTGTTGGAAAACTCCCTTTATAACAATGATTAAAATGTATGTTCTTTACTTAGTGAATTCAACTTTGTATTTACAATGGTATGTTATGATAATGGTTTTAACAAATGATGAATTTCTTTTTCTTGTAGTACAAAGAACTGGAATACACCACTTATCTTCGACCTGAAGGAAGGAACAGTTACTTTGATTCTACAAGCAGAAAGGTAGCTTACTGTAATGTTCATTAGATACTTCTTAAGATGTGTTTCTGAAAAACTTTGCCACCAAGTTCTTAGGAAACAAAACAAAATATCACACAGGAGATTTTAGAAATAGACAAAAATATACAGTATTGGTAAGTAGCTTCTGAAGGCTTAGGCATTGTATTTGACATATATCTGTGATGGTGGTAATGAATTTTATCATGTATTACATGTGTATGGTTATACTCGTTTATGGAAGAAAGTAAATCTTCCTATATTACAGTAACATCTCTTTTTTATGTTCTATATTGCTTTTTTGAAGTGGAATATATTTTATAGAATTTATCTTTGGCCTCCAAGTTTTATTAGAAACATTGCCAGGTATGCAAAATAAAAAATAAATGATGAATTTTTAAAAATTATGATTTTTTAAAAAATGATAGTTTTTCCTACATATATTTACTATAGTTACAATAAATTGCAATATTTTTTTCTGACTTTACAAATGTTTTAATCTGTATTTCCTGAAAATCATTTGTCAGAGATCCTTTCATGTGCTTTTGTAGGAGAGTCTTCTAAAGAACTATGAATAGGAGCAGAATTCAAAAATCTTCAGTTTCAATTTTAGTCTTAATTCTCATGGGCAAGTATTCTTGGACAACTTTTCCAGCATAATGCAGTGTAATACTCCCTGCGTTTTTGAGTGCCCCAGATTAAACACGTGTGTCTTGGACTGCAGAGAGACTGCAGTACAGGAAGGGGAAGCAAGTAGCCAGGATTCTGAAGATCGAATTATAAATTTGAAGTTTTGTGCTGCTAATTAAAAGTATAGTTTGCAAACATGATACAGGTTCTATGGCGGTGAAGGTGATCCCTATTCCACAGAACTGAACCCAAGATTTTAGTAAAATATGTCTACGTTGGCATATCTGTGCAAACAGATGGTGGTTCATTTGGTACCAATGGCAATGATATTTACAATAGCTGGGAGTCTACCAACTGTTTGTTTTTTTTTGTTTGTTTGGTTTATGGATGTGTTTTGTGTCTATGAACTATAGATACTGTACCTAACAATTATTGTTATGCAGAAGTATTTATATTCTATATAAAAGATTGCAATGTGTTCTGGCAAATAAGTTATTTCACTGAAGGTCTACATCTAAATAGATGGCAAGCAGTTTGCTAACAGTGTCTTCTGTTTTCTTTGTTATAATCCAGTCATAGTGAAAGAAATGATACAGATAATACTATTTCAAAGCTAGCTGTAAATATTAGAGCTTTTACTCAAATATATGCACAAAGTACACAAACCAGTGGTCAGGGTTCTCATGTGTGGTGATGTGCATGGAATACTGTGTGTAGTTATATGCTGTGTCATCAGGCGTCATAAGATCAAATCTTAAAATATCTATAACTGATAAAATCATAGTAATTCCAGATAATAAATATTTCTTATGGAAAAAGATAACATTCAAATTAGAACTGAAGTCATCTGCTCAGAGGTTTCAGAGTGTCAGCTATGTAAGGCCTAGAAATTGTCATTTAACTGAAAACATTTGCAGGATATTAGACAATTGTCTTGAAATTGTTGAAATGGTCATCCTTCTTTTCTATATTATTAAGCAATTAGCTTTTTTTTTTTTTTTAGGCATTTTCTTCTGGTAGATGGTGGAGGACTTTATTTATATTCCTATGAAGGAAGATTAATTTCCTCTCCAAAATTTCCAGGAATGAGAACAGACATTTTAAATGCCCAGACAGTATCACTGAGTAATGATACCCTGGCAGTAAAAGACAAAGCTGATGAAAAGGGTAAGTTCTCAGTTCTGATAGTTCCATGCTTGCTAATAATTTATTGTGAAGTTTTCAGCATCTGTGCGTTTAACTTAGTTTTCCATGCTTAGCATAATTATTATAAAACGTAAGTATACAGCATAAAGAATTTATTGATGGTATAAATTAAAGATAATAATATAATAAAAATGATTTAAAAATGATGGGTCTTGTCTACCTTCGATTAAAAAAAATGAACGATATATATATATGTTTCTGAACTTCCAGCTGCATGTAATACATTGGAAAACCATGGAATATTTGCAGTAAATATTGCACAGTGGGTCTTCCATAATAATAAAATGGACTTTTATAAGGAACAATATATCTTAGTGCAAATTATTCAGAAGAAATAAGTGGTTTTCAGAACAATTATAAACAGATAAGTGAAAAGTTGGATTTTTTTCTAGCCTTTTTTACTCTGTGTATTTATATTGCACAAGTGTATGTATGGTTTTTATATATTAGTATGTATAACACAGCCTTTTTTGCCATATTGACACCTTTGATGCAATTAGGATAAAAACAGAAGTATTATGGATAAATGAAGAAAACGGAAAATTCATACAAGAATATTGACTGCTGTCTGTATCTGTATCTACACAAACTTCAGA